TAGCGTGCTTGCTTTGCTTTTGTATTGGAGGTCTGTCATGCAGCTCCTTGCAAGCGAGGAGTCTTAAACACAGAGTTGAAGCATATCCATTACAAGAGTCCTTCCAGAAGTTCCAATTTTATATATCGATTTGCTTGCTTCTGCTTCCCCATTTGTTATTTATAAATGGAATCCTTTTGGTTAGATCAGACAATAGCTTTTGGTTCATTTTAGTAGACTTATTTTGATCTATGATAGTAAACCTGCCTACTCACACAGTGACATCTGCACTTCGGTTCCATTCCTACATCGGCCAACCACTTCTTAAATCAGAGTCCAATAATCTCTGGCCTCATTAATTGTCACACTTTTGAAGGCTTAGAGAGGACATCAACTGAGGAATTACTAGGGAAGTAGGACTAGTCAACCCACACTTGCTTCTCTGCTTCCTGTGCAATCTCCTGCACGAAATTGAGCTTCTAGATGCGGCCTCAATCTTTACATTCTCTACTGCTTCTTTTAACCAATCTCTTGCAAAATTAAATTAGGACCGGTCTATTGCCTATTCCTGAGTTCGTGCTGCCGGACATCTATATTCTCTGCCTTGCTTCATAGATATCTTGGCTTTCAGGATGTCGGTTTTTTAAGGGGGTTCTGTGAATGAACCATTTAGGAAACAATGCATGATATACGGAATAATTATTGGTTTTTTAAGGGGGTTCTGTTAATGAACCTTCTACAAAACAATGCTTGATATTCGGAATAATAAATAACCCGAACGAAGTTGCACACCAGTTTGGTAAACCAAAAAGTCTCACATAAGCATCCATCACCAATCAACATTTAGGGGCTTGTACATGCAAACCATTATGGGAATGCACAAGAGTACATATAAAGCTTCAAATCCAGGTTCCTGCTTATTACAATGAGATGCTAAACCCTGACTTTGCAGATGCCCAACTACTTGAAAATGGGAAAAACGAATAAGAAGAGAAAACAAAACCATGAAAAAGTTTAATACCTGACCAAAGCAGAAAACTGGAACCAGGGGTTTGCCCATCTCCATAGCTATTCGTACAAATCCTCTTCTTGTCTTGAGGAAGGCAATCTACAAAACAAACAAAGGGGGAGTTGAATACCAGAGAGGTTCATCAGGAGTAAAGAAAACTCCTCTCTCTCTCTCTGTCTCTCTCTCTCACACACACTCACATATGGTGCAATAGGAAAAAGGGTATGAAATATCATATGCCAATAAAAGTATAAAACCTTGAGCTTAAGCTCCTGCATTGTGATAATTATATGAACTGGTTCCATATGAGAAATGGAAGAGAGCAAGAAATATGTATGCATGGTCCAACCACCCTGGCCCAGAAAACTTATATGTCATAACAAAACCAGATCTTCACAGGATGACATACATGCCGACCAGTAACAATGTATAAAAATGATGGGATAGACAAATTAACCTGCTTTAAGTTTGCTTATCTAGTAGAATCTTGGTAGTTATAACCTGTTACTAGAGGGCTCAACCGGAAATTAAGTAAACTAAGAATATCTCCCAGTGAAACCTCAAGAATCTTCAAACGAGGCATCATAAGATTAAAGCAGTACAAGACTGCAATTCTAAAATCAAGGACAAGCGATTTAAGGAAGAAGATTTGCAGGCAGGTGGTATTATAGATCAAAAAAATTGTAGTTCTTGGACTTCTATGATGTTTATTTATGTTGGAAAAACCCATTCTTGAGAGTGAGAGAGAGAGAGCGATTCCGAGAAGAGGACTCAGGGCACAACAGATGATGAAATTGTTATAGTCGCATTAATTCTAAATCTAGACACAGTTCATATGCAACTGGAGAAAAATAATTTAGAAGAGTCAAACCTCTGAGCCATGCTCCATATAGAATGCCTCTTGAACTCCGCCTGGCACTATGATGCAGCTATAACCAGCTGCCAAAAGGGAACTGAAATCTTTCCTTGTTGCAGCTGCAAGCCCCAACCATGTCCATATATGCCTCATGAATGGTGTGTAGAACACCTGATCACGTTTTCCAACTTGTTAACATAAAAGAGAAGAAATAGTGATTATGACTCCCCAGTATGTACAAGGTATCAGATCTTACTGCAGTACTTGCGAGAACTTTAATTTTTGGGAGAGGCATGAAACCTGTAAGGTCGGCAAGGCAAACAACACCAATTGGCCAAACTGAATGTGGCTCATAGCCAAAAACTACATGAAGAACAGGGTTAAGGTCATTACTGCAAGAAACTGGGAAAAAAACTAAAGTGATCAAGCTACTTGCACACTGGAAAGGCTAAAGCTTCTAGGAAACCACAGTTACAACTTGTAACAGCCCACCAAAGGAAATCACAAGTGTATAATCCACATATTGAAATAGATTCAAAGGAGCTAGGCCCATGGGAGAAGCAGCAATAGAAAAATCCAACATAAAATGAAAAATGTAACAAACTTTTAAAACTAACCTTTAATAAACAAATAATACCCACCAATTACTCTCCCAACTCAACCAGAAACAAATTTGTTGTTTCGTCCTCAATCAGGTCAACTAGGCATGTTAGATGCATCAAAAGACATCACAGCCCAAGAGCAACCAGGAGCTAGAGAAAGACAGCCCTCACTAGAAACCCCCTCTACCTAAATCTCTGCATGGGTCTCACTCTATTTTATTTTTTCCCCCATCATTTCTACCATAAAAATTGTTGCTTTATCATCAAGCATGTCACTAAGCATCTCAACACATGTTAAATGCATCCAAAGAAAGCCCCCCTGCCCAAGAGGGACCAGGAGCTAGAGAATGACATCTTCCCTTAGAAATCCTATCTGCATAAAATTCTGAATGGGTCTTGTTAAGAGTACTGGGGTATTGTGTGTAAATATTAGAGGGTATATATGTCTTTTGTATTATTACAAGTTAACTATAAATACAAGTGGTTTGTAAGAGTTAGGTTAAGTTTTTGACCACTCTCAGTTTCTCTCTAATATTGTGTTAATTCTCTCAACTTAACATAGTATCAGAGCAATTACAATCCTAAAAAAAAAAAAAAAAAAAAAAAAAAAGTTACCGTCTTCCTCGCGGTCTCCGAATACTGGTCCATCAGGTAATTCAAACTCTTTACCTATTGCTCTTCGAAAATGTACTCGTTCGTGTGTTACTAACCGTCCTATTGCCCATTTTGTTTCATATAATTCATTATCTACTATCTCTATTCCTAAGCACTTACATGATGCATTGTCTAATCTGGGTTGGAAGAAAGCTATAAAGGAGGAGATGGATGTCTTATATCATAATAGAGCTTAGAATTTTGTTCATTTTACCCCTAATAAACGAACTGTTGGTTGTCATTAGGTGTATACTGTTAAATTTCATCCAGATGGTTCTGTAGAGCATCTCAAAGCCCGCCTTGTTGTAAAAGGCTTCACTCAGACGTATGGCGTTGATTATGAAGAGCCTTTCTCTCCAGTTGCCAAAATTTCTTCTGTTCGTACCTTAATTTCTTTGGCTGCTAATCATAATTAGCCCTTGTTTCAGTTAGATGTCAAGAATGCCTTCTTACATGGTAACTTGGTTGAAAAGGTATACATGAAGCAGCCACCTAAGTTTACTACTCAGGGAGAGTATGGTACGAGTGTATGTCGGTTAAAAAAATCTTTGTATGGTTTGAAGCAGTCACCGAGGGCATGGTTTGATAAGTTTTCAGATGCAGTTTTAAAATTTGGTCCCCTTCGCTGTTAGACAGATCACTATGTGTTTTATAGACAGACAGATGTCGGATATGTTTTTTTAATGGTTTATATATATAGCTGATATTGTGATTATTGAAAATGATACGGAGGGGCTTGTCAAGTTAAAAACCTTCTTGCAAGACAGGTTTTATACTAAAGATTTGAAAAAACTTAGGTATTTCTTGGATATTGAGGTAACTCGATCTAAATAGAGTATTTGTTTATCCTAGAGAAAATATGTACTTGACATGTTAGTGGAAGCAGGCTTGTTGGGTGACAGACCAGTTGATGTTCCTATGGATACGAATCAGAAATTGTGGATGATGGTGTACTATTTGAGAGACCAGTTGATGTTCCTATGGATACGAATCAGAAATTGTGGATGATGGTGTACTATTTGAGAATCCATGTCGTTATCGTAGATTGGTTGGGAAACTCAATTACCTCACTATTACCTGACCGAATATTTCCTATGCAGTTAGTGTAGTGAGTCAGTTTATGAGATGTAAAGTACCACATTGGGAGGCAATTACTCGTATTCTACGATATCCTAAACGTGTTCCCGATCTTGGGCTTTTGTATCGAGCTAATAGACACCTTAGGGTGGAAGGTTTCTAAGATTCTGATTAGGCTAGCTCTCCNATTCCCACAGTTGTACAAGAGAAACAAGGGATATTTATGGGTGGTTCTTCTATTGAAGTTTCACATCTGATGAGAAATAATCAAAAAAAAAAAAAGATATACGGACCATGGTTACCACAATTCACTAAACCTCTAACAACCCACGATCTGNAGAAATAATCAAAAAAAAAAAAAGATATACGGACCATGGTTACCACAATTCACTAAACTTCTAACAACTCACGATCTAGGCACATCGATCCAAAACGTGGTGGGTTCGAGATCTAAATCACCAAAATTGACGACCCCAAATTACAATACTAACCCTAAATTAATTCGCTTTAGAACATGTAGCACAAATATAAAATACATATTAATTGACTACATGTATATAGATTTATAATTATATATTATTTTAGATAATAGAAAATCAAGTACAATTATAAGATAAATAGTAACTAACTTAATGTTTATAAATGTTTTGCAATATATAATGTTGTATAGTAGTAAAAACGATCTACATAAGAATTCCAAAACGAATTGCAACCCAAAATACCATACCGGCTAAACTTACCCCCATTGTACCACATACCTAGGAAAGTGTCGTACCATGTACCCGTACCTGTATCACGTACCAAAACGACCTATGATCCAAGTAACATTGATACGGACCTTTCAGATGCTATATTAGTGATTGAAGATTACAAATCAGTTGCATGGAAACGGTAAATTGCAAAACAAAAATGCTACATAAGCTAATTTCATGAGCCTACCAAACTGAGCCCCAAGAAAGCTTGGCCCATTTGGATAAGCGTGAAACTAAGAGTCAAGCAGAGTCTAAATTAGCCAATATATCCTCCTGTAAAAAACATAGTCAAAGTAAGTTGTTCAGTGAAATATAGCAGCACAACTCAAACTATATGGAAACTACCAATGGCTTCTTACCCCCTTTTACCACCATCAGTTCCACAAATTCCAAAAGATAATGCTATCTGCACATTAAGCATATCCATCTCCATTTCAGCCAAAAATGCCTTACCAGTTTGGATACAGTTGCCAAGAAAACCTGACATGTAGTCATTAAAAATCGAATTCCCCAACTATCTAGGTTCTAGACTGTGACACCTCATAGAACAATCNATCTCCATTTCAGCCAAAAATGCCTTACCAGTTTGGATACAGTTGCCAAGAAAACCTAACATGTAGTCATTAAAAACCGAATTCCCCAACTATCTAGGTTCTAGACTGTGACACCTCATAGAACAATCAAAGAATGTAACAAGAACAAACCAAAGAAATTTGAGAAAATACATGATTCACACCCAATAAGGTTACGTCAACTGGAAAGTCAAGCACTACCAAGTAGGACCTTGACTAACAGTCTGGACAAGCATAGATGATGATAAACATGAATCATATATTTATTCTTATTTCTTTCTTAAACCCATAAATAAGGTTGGGTTCTATGTACACAATTTTTTTTCCTAAGAAACAGAACTTTAAATAAAGTATTACATAATCTAATCGAAATTGGACAAGTCGTCCAACCCTAAACACTCAAAAAACAANTTTTTCCTAAGAAACAGAACTTTAAATAAAGTATTACATAATCTAATCGAAATTGGAAAAGTCGTCCAACCCTAAACACTCAAAAAACACCGCAACCATTCAACCTAAAACTTGCAACTAAAATCCACACGAAGCTATCCAACTTGATGAAAAAGATGGACACTCTTAAATTCTTTTGTCATCGAAGCCCAAAACGAAGCTAAGAAGTATATCCAGTCCCATATCCATTCCAACACGTCCTCTCTATCTTCAAAAACTCTCAAATTTCCTTTCAACCAAAGAACTCAAACGATTGTTAGGCAAGCACATTGCCAAAGAATAACACCCCTTACTCCACCACCAAAATGTTTGAAATGCACAGATGAATTAAATCACAGCACCACCCAACAAAATCCTACCAGCTCAAATAATTTATTCCGTAAGCATAATGCAGTGGAACAATGTAAGAATAAACATTCCACAGTTCCACAATCTTCTCTACACATGACACATAGGGACTTCTGCTTAGGAACACATCATATGTATTGATCTTACTATAGCAATTACACATGCACAAATGTACACTATCAAAGACATCTTAGCCTTCTAAATCTTCAATGAAGGATACATGAGTGTAATAGAAGGATCATCAATCAAAGATTCAGAAAAGACTTGCATGAGAAGGGTCGCGATGGGTCAAATTACCCAACACCTTTTTTCATATGAATCTAGGTTCAAAAGTGATTGTATGAAGCAAGGAAATAGGTTGCTCAGGTTCCAAAATCTCTATCAGTAAGATTCCTACGAAACCCAAAATCCTAAACAATTGGAAAGGAATCCGACCTCACCAAAGAAGTAACACAACAATCATGATACCTACAGAGACAAAACAAACAAGGTCAAATATATGAAAATGAAGACTCCCCAACTTAAATATCCTCTCAAAAACGCTCAACCCATTACCTACAATGAACTTGATCTCTTTACCAAAAAAATATAATTCAAAAAAAAAAATTTCCAAGGATTTCAATAACTTCCCCTATCACACCCATTAGCATCCCACCATTAGACGTACAAGTCGTACTTGAATGCCGTAACGAATTCTGCTCCAAAGTCCTTTTTTTAACAAAGTCACATTTCTAGCCATCAAATTTCCCACCGAAAGTCAACTATTTTTTTTTTTACTTAGACACCACCTCCTAACTATCCAAATGATCATTTGTAACCCTCATTCCTTCTTCTCATTAGAAAATCTCATCATCCTTTCAATTCTCTTTGCCACACCAAAAGACAACTTAAAAAGGGAAAGAAAATATGTGGGGATGCTTGCCCACATAGGTTAAAGTATAGTTCATCTCCGCCTAGAAATAAATGCCTTCTTCCAACCAATCAACCTTTTTTTCAACCTTCCCAATGACCAAATCCCAAAAAAAAATACAAATATTGGGTTACCTCCTAACAGAAAACCTAAATACTTAATAAGCAACTCCAGACTCAACACCCTAAAGCCAAAGCCAAAAATGTAATCCAGTTGTCTTTTTTTCAGGATTAAGGAAATGAATTTAGCATTTGTAATTGCATTAACCACTCCCTTACGAAAACAAAACTCCTCAAGAACTTTCATCAAATTATCTTTAATCGCATCCCAACATTCTTGAAATAAGGCCATAGTGAAGACATCCAACCCAAGGGCATTCTACTGAAAACACGACTCCTTTAGCTTCCTCCAACCAAAAGGTCTTTCCAACCAAATCAATGTCCTTCCATCAATAGGTCACCACTCAAGTCCTTCCAACCTAGGCCAAGAACACATTGCTTTCAAATATAACTTTGGAAAAACACTAATGATCTCCTTCTCAATATGTTCCTCATCCTTAATAATTGCCCCATCCTCAATGTTCCTATTTATCAATGATTTTCTTTTTTTCTATTGCCATTTTCACTCTCTTAAAAAAATTGGAATTATTGTTCCATTCCTTCACCCATTTAACTCTAGATTTTTGTCTACAACTAGTCCCCTCTTTGAAAACCACCTCTTCAAACTTATTTCTAAGGTTCCATCTCCCTTTTCTCAATTCCTCATCGAATTTTTCTCTTTCTTCTAACCTATTAAGATCTCCAATCCTCCTTAACATCCTCGACTCTATAACATTAATAACACCAAACTCTTCTTTATTCCAAGCCTTCATCTTTTATTTTAAAAAACTCTTANATCGAATTTTTCTCTTTCTTCTAACCTATTAAGATCTCCAATCCTCCTTAACATCCTTGACTCTGTAACATTAATAACACCAAACTCTTCTTTATTCCAAGCCTTCATCTTTTATTTTAAAAAACTCTTGACTTTTTTATGAACTTAGAGCTTTCCCATCCTTGAAACGTTATCCACCATTCCTTAAGCTTCTCCCGAGAAGCACTATGTTCTAACCACATATTTTCTAACCTAAAAAGACAAGGACCCCACCATATAACAGAATCATCAAGAACAATAGGATAATGGTTAGAAGACTCTAGGTAAAGCCTCTTGCCTAACCCCCAAAAGCAATTATCCCATCCAACCAAAAACAAAAAACCTATCTAACCTTTTACACATTAGTCCACTCCTAAAATTAGACCATGCAAAAGCACCATTAGCCAAAGGGAGATCTCTAAGTTACGTTTCCCTAATAAAAGAATCAAAATCCCTCATACTTCTATTAATTTTCCCCCCATTCAACTTCTCTGACAAATATGACATTAAAATCACCAACTAAACACCAATGAGGACTACAGATACCAAGCAAACCCACCAACTCTTCATATAACAACATCCTTAACTTAGGTTTATTGGGTCCATATACACCGTTCAACAACCAATCAAACCCATTCCTATGTTTGACACAAATTGAAATTGTAAATTTGCCTCCTATAGATTCTTCCACTTGCAAAACCTTTTCATCCCATAAAGACTACAACCCCCGACATGCTCACATAAGGTTAAAAGATCAAATTCGTAAGCCCCAACCCCTACATACTTTTTAATCACTCTCTTATCAACTGCCTCCATTTTTTATTAATGAAAAAATGATATATCTCGCCCATATCGCAAAAGAAAATCTTTTATAGAGCACCTTTCTTCCTATAATCTAATCTCCTAATATTCCAACTAACAATCTTCTTAACAAACTAAGACTCCCTCATTCACCTTCCTAACACTCCCACTATCATAATTAACACCAAACTACAAATTTTTTAACTCTCAAACCCTCTTTCTTTCCCACACTCCTCCCATCCCCCTCAATCTTTCCCTTCTTTTTAGTGGGAACTAAGGACAAATCCATCTTCATTAAGAAGGTCCTAGGGATAACCCACTTCTCCTCGTTAGACATATAAGACCTGTCCTCACCTACAAATTTCTCCTTTCTTTCTCCTCCCACCCATGGACTCAAACAAGCCCCAACTTCCTCGTAACAGACTATGGCCCGGTCAGATACAGACTGTGAATTTCCTAGAGCAAAATAAATAATGGGATCCTAGTTACAAAGACACAATCTAATCTCATAGGATACCAATATTGGTTCAACAGCCATGTCCGACTCAGGACATTCTCTAATACCTAAAGAAACGTTTTTCTCAGAGGCCTCAAACAACCTCCCCAAAAGCCCAAGCTCACAAAACTACCACTGGAATTCCTTCCTAGAACCACACAGATAGTTCCATAACCCAATTTTGGATTTTACCCCTCCCCCTTCCCGCCAAAAAAAAAAACCCTAAAAACATAACCACATTATGTAACACATGAACTAGGTTAAGTGGTTACCATGGGTTGAGTATTTGCGCAACACTTCATACCATACATCAATTAAAATGACTCCATTCGAGGCTGTTTATGGTAATCCCCCTCCTCCTCTGACAAGTTATGAGGAGGGCACTACAAATGTGGCACAAGTTAATGCAAAATTGGCCGAAAGAGACGAAATTTTACAATTTTTTTCAAATATAATTCATCCATGGATAAACATAGCATGAAACAATATGCAAATCTTCATCAGATGAAGTGGGAAAATGATGTTGATGACATGGTGTATTTATGGGTTTAACCTTATTGTCAAACCACCATTACAGTTCATAAATCCATGTATCCCACCTCAAAAACAAGATAGATGGTTGTGATGTTCAAGTGTGCCACTTACCCAATGTTTCAAAAGATGGCACCCTATAGATCACGCCATTACACGTTCTAACCACACATGGTTCAGCAACAANAGTTAATGCAAAATTGGCCGAAAGAGACGAAATTTTACAATTTTTTTCAAATATAATCCATCCATGGATAAACATAGCATGAAACAATATGCAAATCTTCATCAGATGAAGTGGGAAAATGATGTTGATGACATGGTGTATTTATGGGTTTAACCTTATTGTCAAACCACCATTACAGTTCATAAATCCATGTATCCCACCTCAAAAACAAGATAGATGGTTGTGATGATCAAGTGTGCCACTTACCCAATGTTTCAAAAGATGGCACCCTATAGATCACGCCATTACACGTTCTAACCACACATGATTCAGCAACACCGTCAACAAGTTAGTCAATGGCTAATTCCGAGGCCCACTTTCCACGTGAAGATTCTACTTGGGAGGACAAGTTCTTCATCCCACCTCGATATCATACCTTTCTACCTAGGCCAAGGTTGGTGTTAAGCAGATGGGAATGATAGAATCTCCCCAAGAAAGAGCTTCTTTTGACAAACTAAGGATGCTAAAGATTAGTTTGCAGGACGCAGGTGCAGAAATTGGTAGAGAAACTTTAGAACATGTGGTGTCGTAACCCTTACCAATGGTATGCTTCATACATACGCATGCTCTGAGGTTAATGATTCATAAACTTTGTGGATTATAATTAGATTAGCAACTGGTTCTTTTGGCTTTGGTTTGATGCAAAAAGGAGAAAACTTGAATTTTGGTGAGAAACCTGAAAATCTCTAGTTTACGTTCAGTTTTATAAGTTATTTTGAACAAGTATTTAATCTCCAAAAATAGTAAATTTTGGTGGAAACGAATTTTTTTTGAGTCTATTTCTATTTGCCACTACCCTTATGAAGTTTCAATATGTGGGTATAACCCATGCCACCACAGAATCTAAGATATCCAAGTTTTTATACTATACTTTTTGCAGCAAGCGGATGGGAAATTTAAAAAATAATCTGTAATTTGGAAGCAAAGAAAGAAATGGGCAGAAAAGCGGTTACCATAAGCCTGATTAGGATCGAAGGCTTTAATGTCCTCTAGGTGCAAAGTCACCGGAAAATAGCCACAACCATGCTTACATATGTACCTGAATTTTTTGAGATATATCACTAACAATTTACAATTATAAAAAGAACAAAATATTGGGTTGAATTCTATAGTTTTAATAAATTTGTTTCGTTGGATCGGATTCTATGAGACAAAACCAAAACCTGAAAATCGCTAACCTCCCTAATTTGCGGCCCCAATTGCTTTTCTCGTCAATTGGAATCAACATAAATATCACCAATAAAACCACTACCCTGAAATATACAAAAAAAAATAAAAAATAAACGAAAAATCAATATTAAGTACACAGCTACGGATAGAAAAGGAGGTAGGTGAGACTGAGTAAGGAGAAATGGGAACGAACGCCATGGCTTTGGGAAGAGGAAGGAAAACGAAGGCAGCGAAAAAGATGATGACGTTGAAATGAATGGCGCCAAGCCATAAAAGTAGTGCCAGCATTGTGTGGAGTGGTGAACATTCTTTTCCCTTAAATTCGGCCGGCGTCAGACGTGGCGGTTGCGCGGCCGCATCAGACGGCCGAATTACGCCTGTCTCCTCCGTCCCCATAATCACAAATTATTGATGGGTATAGTGCATAAACGTAGAACCTTATAAGTAGAGGGTAAGTATGAAGTAGCTAGCTTTGCCTATGGGGCCCAGACTCCCTAGTTCGCTCTGGTGGCTTCGGGAATGCCGTCTCCCTCTGTCTTTTTCTCTCCTGAACCTCGAAGACTCTCCAACTTCGAACAACCACAGGCTGGATGTGAAGTCAGAACGCTGATTGCCTCTCTGAAGTACACGTGCCTCAGACACTTATAATTACTAACGGTGGACCCCATATGTCTACCAAAGAAATAAAAATAATATTTTTTTATCGAATTATTTTTTTGTAGCATTTATTTCTTTTGGGCGTGAAAATGAATTCAAATTTGCGTGTGAAAAAATAATACTAGTAAGATTTGTGTAGTATTCATCAATTTCATATCACCACAGAAAAAATAAAGTCCAGATGTATTAAATTAAATCAATATTATATGTGTGATGATATATGGGAATGTTTTTGATTAAATATGAGCTCAGGAAGAGAGANGTAGCATTTATTTCTTTTGGGCGTGAAAATGAATTCAAATTTGCGTGTGAAAAAATAATACTAGTAAGATTTGTGTAGTATTCATCAATTTCATATCACCACAGAAAAAATAAAGTCCAGATGTATTAAATTAAATCAATATTATATGTGTGATGGTATATGGGAATGTTTTTGACTAAATATGAGTTCAGGAAGAGAGATCAGACTGGAAGATAAGTTAAGGAACCCTGAGATCAGAGGCTCAGGCCTCGAACCCCCTTTTGTATGAAAGACTAAAAGAGATAAGAGGAACAGCTGGCTAGCAGAAGGCATCTCTAGCATAACGGAGGGCAGTGGTTAAGGCGCGAGACTCTNTCAGACTGGAAGATAAGTTAAGGAACCCTGAGATCAGAGGCTCAGGCCTCGAACCCCCTTTTGTATGAAAGACTAAAAGAGATAAGAGGAACAGCTAGCTAGCAGAAGGCATCTCTAGCATAACGGAGGGCAGTGGTTAAGGCGCGAGACTCTCAACCACCCAAGATCCTCTCTTTGAAATTAAGGAAAAATCCCACAAATGAAGGGCAGGAACCCCGCTGCAAATCCCTTAGAAATGGGAATTAAAACTATAAATGTTGGGCAGTGCCTCTATTATGAGGGGGATTCCCGATTATATGAAAAATACTCTATAATTTTTACCAACCATCAATATAGATCTAAGGAGCAAGACACTCCCATTGAGAGTGGATTAGTTGAGCCCCCGAGCTTGGTGAACCACTATATTTTCACCATGTAAGCTATGTCAATTCTCCAAGAACCTTTCCATAATCCTCACGAGCCTTATAGCTCAGATTCAAACTCGCTTATTTGATTCGTACTTTTTGTTCATCTGCCTAATTACACCATCAGTTTGGCGCCGTCTGTGAGAAAGATTGTTCCTGTTACAAATACGTTGATTTGTCAGTGATTGATGATTTCAACGTGCAACATGAGCAAAAATCAGATGAATCCCCCGCGGATTCAAAACCAACAAGAAGCCACTGGCAGTGGGCAACACGAAAACTTTCAGGATTTCATCCCCACCATTGGAATCGATCCCCTAACAAGTAATGAAATGGAGGCCCTTTATCTAGTAAACCAGTGTTTGTTTCGACATAACGAAGAGCTCTTGAAGCTCCCACAAGGTCCTCAGCAAACTAGACCAGCCCAAGGGGGTCTTTTGCAGGGAGAGTATCAACATCTCGACCCCCTTAAAGAAGTCAACGAAGGGGGTGAGAACAGCCACGCCCCCTGCCTCCTATTTTCTCCCTTTCTAACAAGAAAGAAGAGAGCAATACTAGGAGTAGCACTTCCGTGACATCCAGTAGGAGCTCAATCACATGAAAGAAGCTATAAGAGGTAAGACCCTAATGACAATGGATGCATTGGTACAGCAAATCAAGTCCTCATTCACTGCTGGGGTGTTGTATTTTCTCCTTCCTCTAAAGTTCAAAATGTCCCAGATAGAGACATTTGATGAGACTAAAAATCTCATGGAGCATCTCAATACCTATAAAAATCAGATGGAGCCACATGGATATCAGGACCCTGTGCAATGTCAAGCCTTTGCCATCACACTAAAAGACTCAACCCTGGCCTGGTTCAACAAACTTCCCCCTAGCATCAATCTCTTCCTTCAAGGAGCTCTCCATATCCTTCATGTCCCAGTTCATTGGAGCTCAAACCTACCGAAAAATTGAGTTACCACTTGTTAAATGTAAAACAGGGACCCAACAAGAACCTACGGTCTTATGTTGATTTGTTTTGTTTAAAAAAAAAATCCCTGAAGGTAGATGTTTCGCACGAGAAGTTCTCTATCACTATTTTCATTGCTAGGTTAGGAGTGTAGTCGAAGGATCTGATGTTTTCAATCGAAGAACCCGCAAGTAAGCATGGCAAAGGTGCTGGCTAAAGCAGAAAAGTATATAATGGCAAGGAAGCCCTTCTCTCAAAGGTAGGAAGCTCTTCCTCACAGAAAGAAAAGGGGAAAGAAGAAAAGAAGAAGGATCGAAGTCTTAGAAAAGAAAAGAGGACGAGATAGGTCTCCAAGAAGAGACATGGATCATTCTCCCAAAAGAAGAGGAGATGTCAAAGATCGTTTAGGTCCTCCTCAGCCAGAGTTGCAGTCGAGGTATGCACCTCAGCAGCTCACTCCTCTCACCGCCACGGTATCACAAATCCTGTATGAAGTTCGAAATGAGAAGTTCCTCAAATGGCCACCTCGGATGAAAGCGGATCCAACAAAACGAGATCCCACCAAGTACTATGAGTGCCACAGGGATCATGGTCATCACACTGACAATTGCATCCAGCTAAAGAATGAGATAGAATTCCTGATCCAACGAGGGCAGTTGAGACGTTTGTAGCTAATGACAATCAGAACCGAGCTCAACCACCTCCAGCTCCTTAGCAACAAGCCCCTGTGCAGCATCAACAACCTTTGGGAGAGATCAAAGTGATATCTGGAGGATTTGTTGAAGGCGAAGAATTCAGCACAGCAAAGAAGGCTCACTTATGTAGAATCAGAATTGATGAGACATTGGAAATGCATACTGTATTCAAGACACCACGGTTAGACATAACCATCACTTTCTTAGACTCGGACCTATAGGGCTGTCAGCATCACTACGATGATCCCTTGGTGGTAAGAGTCGTTGTTGCCAATTGAACTGTTCATCAAATTTTGGTTGACAATGGCAGCTCGGCAAACATCATTTTTGTATCTGCATTCAACAAAATGGACATAGGAAGGGAAAAATTTGAGCCAGTGAGCGCTTATTTGTTGAGATTCTCAGGAGAAAGGGTGTTGTCTCTAGGATCCATCCAACTAGTGCTCACCCTGGGAGACCTGCTTTGCCAGGCCACAACAACTGTAAGGTTCCTAGTGGTTGATGCACCTTCTCCATACAACATGCTGCTCGGAAGGCCATCTCTCAATTCCATGAAGGCAATTCCTTTTGCCTACCACCTCGTAATGAAGTTTTTCGCCAAAAATGGAGTCAGAGTGATTCGAGGAGACCAACGTGCAGCGAGAAAATGCTACATGGCCTATGTAAAAAATAAGGAAGTAAAGAACATCCAATTAGATGAGCTCACATGAGAGATGAGCTGGACAGTAGACCCATTCCATCAGAAGAACTAGAGCCAGTTCAGCTTGATGAAGAGCTAGAGCACTTGGTATATGTGGGATCAAAGTTAAGCCGAGAAATCAAAGACCTCTTGATTCAGTTCTAAGGAGAAATATGGAAGTCTTTGCTTGGAAGCAAGAAGACATAAAAGGAATCAACCCCTCAGTCATCACTCACAGGCTCAGTATAAACCCCGCCTGCAAGCCCATTAAACAGAAGAGGAGAAGTTTCGCCCCAGAACGCCAAAAAGCCATCAATGAGAAGGTCATAAAACTTCTTCCTACCAAAGCCATAAGAGAAGTAGACTACCCAGTCTGGTTAGCCAATGTGGTCCTCGTTAAGAAGACCAATGACAAATGGCGCCTCTACATTGATTTCACAGACTTCAATCGCGCCTGCCCTAAAGACTGNAATCAACCCCTCAGTCATCACTCACAGGCTCAGTATAAACCCCGCCTGCAAGCCCATTAAACAGAAGAGGAGAAGTTTCGCCCCAGAACGCCAAAAAGCCATCAATGAGAAGGTCATAAAACTTCTTCCTACCAAAGCCATAAGAGAAGTAGACTACCCAGTCTGGTTAGCCAATGTGGTCCTCGTTAAGAAGACCAATGACAAATGGCGCCTCTACATTGATTTCACAGACTTCAACCGTGCCTGCCCTAAAGACTATTTTCCATTACCTCGAATAGATTTGATTGTGGATGCTACCGCTGGACACGAGCTCCTCAACTTTATGGACGTCTTCTCTGGATATAATCAAATTAGAATGGATTTCAATGACCAAGAGAATACCTCTTTTGTGATAGAGCAAGGGACGTACTGTTATCAGGTTATGCCTTTCGGGCTGAAAAATGCTGGAGCCACTTACCGTCGTCAAGTGAATCGAATATTTCAAAAAGTAGATTGGGGCGACCATAAAGGTCTACATGTTGGTAAAATTCCTAAAGGTAGAGCTCCACATTGAGCATCTAGTAGAGTCATTCCAGGTCCTTAAAGAATATAGAATGAAGCTCATAATCAACAGCAGTGGGATTGAAGCTAATCCNGGTCTACATGTTGGTAAAATTCCTAAAGGTAGAGCTCCACATTGAGCATCTAGTAGAGTCATTCCAAGTCCTTAAAGAATATAGAATGAAGCTCATAATCAACAGCAGTGGGATTGAAGCTAATCTAGAAAATGTTAAAGCAGTAATAGATATGCAACCACCTTCCAGCACAAGGGAAGTACAACGATTAACAAGGAGAATAGTTGTACTAAGTTGCTTATGTCCATGTCAAGTGACAAATGTTAACCCTTCTTTCAAGTCTTAAAGAAGGCCTTCTAGTGGGACACC